GGAGGGGGCTTTGGGCACCCTCGTGTAGTGGAGGGTGTCCCTGCCCATGGCAGGGGGGTTGGAACTGGATGAACTTTGAGGTTCATTCCAACCCAAACCATTCCATGATTCTATGATTCTATGGATGGATGTGAAGTGAAGGGGGAGAACAAGTAGCTGTGGAGTTTGATGGCTAATGGCTGGGAGGTCGTATTCCTTAGAGGAACATGTAGAGTCAAAAGCTGGGAAGAGTCGATGTCAGGAGTCAGTTTATTGACTTCGCATACAGCATAACAAAGGCAGAGGTTTGGAGATGATCTCTTGATAGGAAGAGTTGACCATGACTGGCCAGTTTTGTTGTATCCAAATCCATGAGATACTGCTGAGGGTACTTTCAGAGGTTTGCAGGTTGCTTGGTTTCTTTTAGCTGCCTTTCAGGGGAAAAATCTTGGAACAAATGTCCTGTTTTAGGCTGGTTTTGGATGTAACTGTTACCTATCATGGAGAGATCTTTAAGGGCTTTAATTAATGAATCAGCGTAATGAAGATTTTGAGCAAGTGAGAATGATGTGAGTTGCCTTCTTTCGCAGACAAGTTGGTAAGGAGACAGGAACTGGTTGAGGTTTGACTCTTACCCTATCAAACCAGTAATTGTTAGAGATCAATCCCATTTTTCTGCCTAGAGTTTAAGACATTTAAATGAATCCGAGAGCGTGTGCGGCATGATTTGATTGCTGAGGTTAAAAGTTGCTAACGTGTCCAAAGCTATTTCTGACTTTGCTACTGCAGAAATAATTGACTTTTTTTGACCAGACAGGCAGTGGTAACTGGTGAATAAACAGCAGATTTGCCGGAAAATCATTACAGTGCATGTAACTCTGCTTTTTTTCTCCTTTCCATAAGCTTTTTAAAATAGACTGCAGAAAGGAAATCAATTAATGTGGTGTGATGGTATAATGCAGCTTGGAATTAATTAGGCTAATTCTGTGCAGACATTCCAGATCTCATGGGATAATCCCAGATAACCTGCTCTTTGCTGTTCTGAAACTCTTCTTTCTGCGTTGCCTTGCAGAGCGGTGGTGGAGGCCGTTCATCGCTTGGATCTCATCCTTGGGAACAAGGCAGCGTACCAGGAAGTGTTCAAGCCGGAGAACATCAGCTTGAGGAACAAGTAAGTTGACCAAGGCACTGATTTTTTTTTTTAGACTTGACCAGGGAAAATCCACGGGCAGCAACACGTGGAGGTTTCGAATCCGCAGTTTCACAGCGTGTTCGATTCGCAGTGCTCCTGTTGAACTGGGATCCCTCCAGGTTTTCGAAGCAGAGGCTGGATTTCAGCTCTGTGTTTGACAGCTGCACAGTCCATGGCTGGAGGCTTTCCTGGGTCAAACAAATCGTCTTCACGTTGCCCAGTGCCTTCCTTGTAATTATCTTTAAAAAGCGATGTAATTATCTTTGTAATTATCTTTAAAAAACTATGTAGAGTTAGACTTGGAAAGGAGGTTCTATGTAAAAAAAAAATGCTCTATGTTCTATCTAAAACTCTTTAAAGGTTTTAAAAACCTTTGTAATTATCTTTAAAAAGCTACGTGGTGAAGAAACTTTTTATGTGTGTGTGAAATCTGTTACCAGGTTCGGAGGGCGCCTAGCAGGGATGATTTTCTGTACTAATTTTTTGAGCTGTCAAGACAATTCTTGACGTTGCTGCAATGTAGGGAGTTACTGGTGGCCGGCTGAGCCAAGGTGACTGGTTAGGTGTGTGGCTTTTCCAGATGCTCACAGCTGCATTTGAAGCTGCTGTAGCTAAATGTGAATTCTCTGCTGTCTGCCCCAGGCTGCGGGAGCTGTGCGTGAAGCTGATGTTCCTGCATCCGGTGGATTATGGAAGAAAAGCAGAAGAACTGCTCTGGAGAAAAGTTTACTATGAAGTTATCCAACTCATTAAAACAAATAAAAAGGCAGGTATCTATGGCTCTGGCCTGAGACAGTCTCTGGTGAGACCAAGTTAAAAGCTCCATTTGCTTGGAGAAGTGGTCTGGACACAGGGCAGGAAGCCAGGCACTCCTGGATTTTAATCACGAAGCTGACGTAAACTTTTTACCTAGTTGTGGGCAGGTCAGCTTTAATGATCTGCTGAGAGAGCTGTCATTGCAGAGGATATTTCAACATAATTTGCTGAATTTTTGTCTTCCCATCTTCAAAAGGCAAAAATCTCCATGTAGAACGATGGTCAGTGCTGATTGTTTTAACTGGAATTGGTCACTGGAAGATACTCCGGGAATTCACACGTGTATTTTCTAATGCTGTGAGCTCTCTCCTGGTGATCTGAGTGTCTGAAAGTGTTTAACATGATGCCTCGATTTTATTTACTTGTTGGTGCAGCAAGTATTTCTCCTTCTTGATGTTGACCCTTAGTAAGTACCACTAGATGTGGCGTTGTTGAGCAAGAGGAGGTACAGAACTGTGCAAAACCCACTGTCTTGCTTCCCCCTTGGTGTAACTCGAGTAGCCAGCCTGAAATGTTACCCAGACTGCACTGACATATTCCCATTTTCCCTCCCTCCAGCACATTCACAGCCGTAGCACTCTGGAGTGTGCGTATCGGACTCACTTAGTTGCTGGCATAGGATTTTACCAGCACCTTCTCCTTTACATCCAGTCCCACTATCAGCTGGAGCTGCAGTGCTGTATTGACTGGACGCACGTAACGGACCCTCTAATAGGTGAGTGCCCAGGGTGCTGGGCTCGTGGGTAAGTCAGGTGGCATCCCCTTGTACTAGTCCATCTTTGTGTTGGCATTTGTGTATCCAGTGGAGTCCCTCAAGGGTCGGTACTGGGACCAGTATTGTTCAACATATTCATCGATGACTTGGATGAGGGAATAGAGTGCACAGTCAGCAGGTTTGCTGATGACACTAAACTGGGAGGAGTGGCTGGCACACCTGAAGGCTGTGCTGCCATTCAGAGAGACCTGGGCAGGCTGGAGAGTTGGGCGGGGAGAAATTTAATGAAATACAACAAGGCCAAGTGTAGAGTCTGGCACCTGGGTAAGAACAACCCCATGTACCAGTATGAGTTGGGGACTGAACTGCTGGGGAACAGCACAGGGGAAAGGGACCTGGGGGTCCTGGTGGATAGCAGGATGACCATGAGCCAGCAATGTGCCCTTGTGGCCAAGAAGGCCAGTGGCATCCTGGGGTGTACTAGAAGGGGTGTGGTGAGTAGGTCAAGAGAGGTTCTCCTCCCCCTCTACTCTGCCCTGGCGACGCCACATCTGGAATATTGTGTCCAGTTCTGGGCCCCTCAGCTCAAGAAGGACAAGGAACTGCTGGAGAGAGTCCAGCGCTGGGCCACAAAGATGATGAAGGGAGTGGAGCATCTCCCTGATGAGGAAAGGCTGAGGGAGCTGTACCGGGCTATACTGGGCTGTACTGGTCTCTTTAGCTCGGAGAAGAAGAGACTGAGGGGGGACCTCATTAATGTTTATAAATACGTAAGGGGTGACTGTCATGAGGATGGAGCCAGGCTCTTCTCAGTGGCATCCAGTGACAGGACAAGGGGAAATGGATCTAAGCTGGAACAGAGGAGGAACATTCTCATGTTCTGCTGGAACATGAGGAAGAACTTCTTCCCAGTAAGGGGAACAGAACACTGGAACAGGCTGCCCAGAGAGGTTGTGGAGTCTCCTTCCCTGGAGATGTTCCAAACCCGCCTGGACGTGTTCCTGTGGGATCTGATCTAGGTGGTGCTGCTCTGGCAGGGGGATTGGTCTAGATGATCCTTTGAGGTCCCTTCCAATCTCTGACATTCTGTGATTCAAAAGGATTATCTTTCTTTTTTTTTAAAATTAACCAGTTACCTGTTTTGAACAGACTGCCTGTCCTGCTCTCTTTTCCCTGGGTTTTGTTGGGTTTTTAATCACTAAACTAGGGAAGAAAATTCTGTTAGAAAATTATGTGCTAAGTGTTTGCTGATGACAGATTTTTACGGAAAATTGAAGAGCACTTCTGGCTGTACAGAATGTTTTTAAAAGCTCGATTGAAGCAGACAAATGGACCGTTGGGGGAGTAGGTTCTTGAAATGCCCAGATTTTTGTCAGGACATCCTATTCCTGGTGTAAGATGTTGTTCTTCCTCTTGGTGCCCCTCCTGTCTGTGCTTCTCTCACGTACTTCCTAGTTCTACTGTGTGTAGCTTTGAAACTGCTGTTGAGTCCTGGGCTGGGAACACGAGGAAGCTCCTGTAGCAGTGCGGGATGTTTGCTGTCTCAGGTCACTGCCGCTGTGCGTGCCCTTCCGTGCAGGTCATTTGAGGTATCTCACCTATTAGGGGAGGAAGAATAAGAGTGTTTACAGCCTTGAAACAGCTCAAGGCTGTGTATGCCTTCTCCTCCTCCATTACCTTGTAATAGTTTCCTCACATTTGCTCCTGGGTTGTGCTCAGTGGCCTCAAGGCACATGTTTCTGTTCAGGTGGGTCCAGGTGAGAAATGGAGCATCTGTGTGTTTTGTGAACTGTATTAGAATCATAGAATCATGGAATGGTTTGGGTTGGAAGGGACCTCAAAGATCATCCAGTTCCAACCCCCCTGCCATGGGCAGGGACACCCTCCACTACACCAGGTTGCCCAAAGCCCCATCCAACCTGGCCTTGACCACTGCCAGGGATGGGGCAGCCACAGCTTGTCTGGGCAACCTGTGCCAGTGCCTCACCACCCTCATGGTGAAGAATTTCTTCCTCAGATCCCATTAGAATCTCCCCTCTTCCAGTTTAAAGCCATCACCCCGTGTCCCATCCCTCCACACCTGTGTCCAAAGCCCCTCTCCAGCTTTCCTGTAGCCCCTTTAGGCACTGGGAGGTGCTGGAAGATCTCCCCGGAGCCTTCTCTTCTCCAGGCTGAACAGCCCCAACTCTCCCAGCCTGTCTGCAGAGCAGAGGTGCTCCAGCCCTCCCATCATCTCCGTGGCCTCCTCTGGCCCTGCTCCAGCAGCTCCATGTCCTTCTGCTGTTGGGGCCCCCAGAGCTGAAGGCAGCACTGCAGGGGGGTCTCAGGAGAGCAGAGCAGAGGGGCAGAATCACTAAATCATTAGCAAGGGTTTAATTGGTGTTCTTAAAGCTGGCAGCGGGGAGGACGGCAGAAACCGGCAGAAAAGAAGTTAGTATGTCCTTAGCAATAGAATGTGTTAGTTGCTGATATCCTGTTCTTAGTTCTGGGAGATGATTGTGTCGTGATGAAATGTTGGTTGGATGTCTCTGGCAACTGTTGCTTTGCAAAATGGATCTCAGTACTGCAGGATTAATAAGTTCTCGAAGTGCTCGTTCCAGTTGGGTTCGTACCCTGTGGTGTGTGATGGCATGTGAAAGGCTCCCCTTGTTCAGGTGTCTGGAGACGTTTAGGCTCTTTCAGTAAAAGGATGCAGCAGATGATTGTGTAGCTGGATAGTAGAGGTGTAGGGAGTTGTAGGGAGATGGGGGTCGGTCTCTTCTCCCACGTTATGAATGACAGGATGAGAGGGAACAGCCTCAAGTTACACCAGGGGAAATTTAGGTTGGATATCAGGAAAAATTTCTTTCCAGAGAGGGTTGTGAAGTATTGGAACAGGCTGCCCAGGGAGGTGGTGGAGTCCCCATCCCTGGAAGTGTTTAAAAACTGTGTGGGTTTGGTGTTGAGGAGCATGGCTTAGGGCCCCTGACGGTGCAGGGTGAATGGTTGGACTTGATGATCCTGAGGGTCTCTTCCAACCAGATGATTCTATGATGGTTGTGCAGGAATCCCATAGGAACTACGGATTAGAGTGGACGCAACTTGATGGTTATATAAACGGGAGCAAGAGGATTTAAGGCAAAAAAGGAAGGGAGGACAGGTCCGGTAGCATACGTGGGCACAGCTTTGAAGGCCGCGTGTTTGTACAAGGCTTGTTAGGAAACGGGAAGCCTCCGGATTTCACTTCTGCTCTTCTAAACTACGCCAAGAGGGAAGCAGCTCAGTCCGCAGGCTGGGCTGGTGTTGAAATCTTCCTTTGGTGGAGGGAGTTTTATTCCTCCAGAAGGTGGAAGTCTTTGGCAACAGGAAGACTGAAGCCAGACTGAATCCATGATGCTGATCTGCCCGCTGGCAGTAAATGCTCTCTGGAGAGGGAGTGTGAAGGCAATGGCCTTTGCCTCCTGATCTCTGGCTGAGCCATGGCCCTGCTGGATGGGGAGAAGGTGCTGATGGGGAGATGGGAACCATGGTCTTGCCACCAGTAGCCCTTCCCAAGAACTCGTTGAAGTTTGATGGCTTAAGGTAGTTCAGATAGCTGGCTGGAGCCTTCCCCCGTTGCTTTTGACACTTCTCACTCCCTGAACTGCTTTTTTCTGTTTTGTTTCGTTTGTTTTTTTAAAAAAACCTTCAGTATAGAGTAGACTTTCATTTGGAAGAGACCTACAACAATCATCAAGTCCAACTGCCTGACCAATTCAGGTCTGACCAAAAGGTCAAGCATGTTATTAAGGGTATTGTCCAAATGCCTCTTAAACGCTGATGGGCTTGAGGCATCAGCCACCTTTCCAGGAAGCCTGTTCCAGTGCTTGACCACTCTCTCACCAAAGAAACGCTTCCTAATGTCCAGTCTAAACCTCCTTCATCACAGCTTTGAACCATTCCCATGTGTCCTATCACTGGATCCCAGGGAGAAGAGATCAGCGCCTCCCTCTCTATGTCCCGTCCTCAGGAAGCTGCAGAGAGCGATGAAGTCACCCCTCAGCCTCCTTTTCTCCAAACCAGACAAGCCCAGAGTCCTCAGCCACTCCTCACAGGACATGCCTTCCAGCCCCTTCACCACCTTTGGCTTGCCCTCTGGACCCCAAGGCAGTTTTGTCCAACGACAGTTCTTCCGAACTGCCTGCAGCTGCCCTGTCTACAACATACTCACTGTCCTGATTTTTCCATGTTTTACTTCTCTTCCTCCCTTTTTGGTTGGCCAGTCCTAAACCTAGATCTCGGTCTTGAGACAATGAGCTTGCTTCCATCTTCCGTGCTGGGAGCGGTACGTCTACGTTGTGCACTACTGCCAGCTGCAAGTGTGCTCAGGCTTTGTTCTGGCTTCCAGGGATTTGCGCCGGCTCCTATCCAGCGGCCTCATTAGCCACGCTAACGAAATCAGCCCCTCAACAGGCCTTGTTAGCTTGTGCTCAGTGCTGTGTTAACACATGGCTTGTAGGCAGGACTTGGCGTTTGTCCTCTCATCTGAGAGGAGAAGGAGCCAACTCTCTGTGGCACGTCTTTTGTGGCCAGAGTCTGAGTGATGGTCGTTTCGGTGACTGTCAGCGGTGCGGTGCTGACTGCCCCTGATCCGCGGGGAACTGCAGGGGGCTTGGGTGAGCATCGGGGTCTTCATGTGTTTTCCAGATTTTGACAACACAAGTGAAGAGTAGGTGGTCTATAAGATGCTACAGACCACAGCCAACAGTGGTCTGACCACATGGTCTTTGTTTTCATCTGGTGAAACGTCGGGTGTCTCGGGCAGAGGCGTAGGCTGCTCGTGTGTTTTTCCAGCAGCCTTTACCCGGTGGTTTGTGTGATTTTTGTGTTTCTCCTGTAGGCTGCAAGAAACCCGTGTCTGCATCGGAGAAGGAGATGGAGTGGGCACAGATGGCGTGTCACAGATGTCTGGTTTATCTGGGAGATCTGGGTAAGAACGACGTCGTCTTTCAGAGCAGCCTTCAGTACGTTAAAAAGATGGTGCCTGTGCAGTGCTGAGTCCATCGTCAGGCACCAGCCACAGTTGCTTGCAGGCACTGGTTTCCCTCTGACGCGTTTGTCGGTGACTGGTGTAAGCTGAAATCCTGAAACAACTGCTACAAATTGCAGAAGCTTTGGTTTTGGGCAAGTAGGTGAGGAGTTTGGTGTTGATACACAGCTGTGGCTGTGGAAGAATGGAAACCTTTGCTTTTATTTCTGTTGTTAAACCCAAAGCGGGCTGACTTCTCAGTTCAGGCTTGCCTTAGGGTTGCCTCATGGAGCCACTGCCATCAGCACGATGAAAATGGGATTTGTTAAGTGATGTCATGAATGAATCCAGCATGGAAGGCACTGCAAACCCTCAGGTTCTTGGTCGTTGTGTCTGGCTGCCTCTCACCCTTCCTGTAGCGAACGTGTCTATCCCACAGTCACGACCTGAACGTGTGGGAGCGATAAAACGTGTAACTGGGTGAGAAACAGCTATTGGAAGTGTGGTGCGGGTCAGTGTGCTTGGCACGCAGCAGGCTGCAAGCTCTGGAAGCAGTTATCATTGCGGGTGAATCAGCCTAAAAATGACATTGCAAGTAAATGTCTCATGGGGGTAGCAAGAATGACTTACCTGACTGGTGGGAGAGGAACGTGTTCACCTCTTCACAACGCTTTCACCTAAGGTTTCCAAAATGCCTTCTGTTGTCAAAAAAAAAAAAAAAAAATCGCATTAGCCACAGGCAGGTATTTGATAAGGTCAGCTGACTCGCTTCAGATTTCACACTGTACTGTAGCAGAACATAGTGTGTTTGCAGTAGTGGAAAATGGAGCCCAGCTCTGCGTTGTTTCGAGGGTAAATGAATCAACACTCAACACGTGAAGGCGAAGAATTTCCTCCTGTTGCTTAATTGCTGCCCCAAGTGCTGAGGGATCTCCCCTTCGCACGGCAGGGGTTGCGGTGTGCGGAACACTTCCATAAAAGTGCTTTAAACAGGCCTGGAAAACTCTGTGTTTTGCCAGGAGCAGTTGTTTGTCGGTGGGTTCGTTGGCTTGGCCAGTATTTCCAGTTCCGTGGTGTGTTCAGTCCGCAGGGCAGCCAGGGAGGAGAGGCGCTGCCTTCTGGTTTGTGACGGGTGGCGTGTGGTTTTCTTCCAGCTCGCTATCAGAACGAACTGGCAGGTGTGGACACGGAGCTGCTGGCTGAGCGGTTTTACTATCAAGCCCTTTCTGTAGCACCACAAATTGGTGAGTGAGTTACCATGAGTTTTTAATTGTTAAAATCATGTTGCTGCCACCTGAAAACAATGCTCTGATGCCGCGCTTGTCAGATTTATATCCTGCCGCTGAGAGAGGAGCGGTTTTATCCTCTGGTTAAAATTACTTCCTTCTTTGAGAATCTCTTGCTGGCAAGCCAAAGAGAGGAGTTAAAGCAAAGGTGCTCTACACCACTGACCTTAACTTACTCACCTGATAACCTCTGAGAAGCTCAGACTTCCATAAATGTGGGAAAGTTGTGCTTGTCTGACAAAGGAAGATCCAGCTGTCCATCGCCAGGAGCAGAGCAGAGCATTATTGATCACCTCCCTCTTTACCCTTGCAAAAAAAATCTCCCACGCTGCTTTCTCCTTCAGAGGTGACGACCTTGTGAGAGCACGTTGTGGCAAGAGTTGTGGGCCTGTCTTGTCTTAAAAAGCGTGCAATTCCAGAAAAACGTTTTCTCTGTGCTGTCTTTGCAGAGTTCTCGCTCAGTTGTTTGATAGGCTGATCCCAAGTACCAATAAGTGACAAAAATTTGTGTGGCACAGTGAGCTGGAACAGAACTCTTAAATGCTGATGATGTCTGTGTCAGGAGGAACAGAGAGTAAAGGCCATGGCATTATTAATCCAGAGGATGAGGCATTGTTTGCTCTGCTTTCTTACATAGATAGCTGGCAGGAAGGTGGGGAGGATGTAAAAGCCCTGTAAAACAGAGAAAAACCACAACTGGATGGCAAAAGGGTTGAGTAGTCCAGACCTTTGGACTGCAGCTCTACCACTGTTTATGTCTCCTGGTTTCTCTCTGTTGTGGAAACGTAGTGGGAGGGGAAAGATCTGCTTTCTCACGGGGCTGTTGGAGAACTGTAGGTACATTCTGTTGCCCCTCTCTTTCATGACAGGGATGCCCTTTAACCAGCTGGGGACGTTGGCAGGGAGCAAATACTACAACGTGGAAGCTACCTATTGCTACTTACGCTGGTGAGTGTCTTGGCTTCCTGGACGGAGAACCAGTGGGCTGTGGTTGCTGCTGGCAGGTTCTTTTCTCATCTACTTTGGACTTGGGACTGTTTTCAGCAGATGAGTTTCAGGGTTGGCGGAAGAGAGATGGGTTTATTTCACCCTTGAGCAAGACTGGGAATAAGAAGCAGCCTTGGTCAAACCAAACCATCGTGCTGGTCACTAAAATCCACACGCAGGGCTGCAGTGGGAGGGCAGGGTTTCATCTGAGCCCCTCTGCCTGTGCTAGAGAGCCAGGTTTGAAGGAGAGCAGACGTGCCGAGTTGAGACACCCCACATAGTGAGGTGGGTGGAATTCAGTTGTCTGGACACGGCCTTAAGGCACAAATTGGAAAAGGTGTGGAAACGTTGCAGACGGAGCCGTGGTGCGGTTTGAAGTGGGGTTTGCAGATATCAGTGGGAGTTGAGTAGCCCAGCATGTTCAAACAGAAGCACTGGGTCCCTGTCTTCATGCTCAGGTGCCTGAATAACTTTCTAGTGAATTAAAGCCATAAAATGTGAGCAGCCGTGCGGAAAAGTGACCTTTGATGTGTTCTATTTTGGCATCCCAGTATCCAGTCTGAAGTGTCCTTTGAAGGTGCCTATGGGAACCTGAAGCGGCTGTATGACAAAGCAGCCAAGATGTACCACCAGTTGAAGAAATGTGAAACCAGGAAGTTGTCTCCAAGCAAGAAACGGTAAGAGGGAAAAGAAAAGGAGAGGGATGTGGGCTGAGGGTTCACAGTGCCACCAGTGTCATTCTCAGGGTTGAGGGTAGTGTCTTTCTGGGATGTGGGAACTGGCAGATGGCTGATTCAAGGCAGTGACTGTTCCCAGAATTTGGAGCGCCCCAGTTTAGATCCCGTTCTTGATCTCTCAGCTCATAATTTCAGGAGAAAAGCTAGATGCTGGCCAGGTGTAGAGTTTGAGGTGAGAGATTTTCTCGCTGTCCCCTGGAGCTGGTGACTGTTCAAGAGGGACGAGGCATATTGGTGAAATGTAGAAGTGTATAAGCTGTCTTTTTTTTTTTTTTCTCCAGCTTTATCAGGATGTAGTTTTCATTCTGATTTACCTATTAATAGAGCTCCATGAGTCCAGCCCGTCACCTGCTTTACAGTGTTTTCTTCTCAACCTTTTCAGAGGCAAGGACATCAAGAGGCTGCTGGTGAGCTTTATGTACCTGCAGAGCCTTTTGCAGCCCAAGAGCAGGTAAGGTTACGGCAGGTTTGTATTTTCTGTTGATAGCTCACGGCAGCGGGCATTTGGAATTGGAAGAGACTGTTCCCTGTAGGATAACAGGGCCTGGGCTGAGGCTTCCTGCCAAAAAGGTCCAAGCCTTTAGTTTTCTAGTCTTGCAGGGAGAGCGAAGAAGATCTTCCAAGTGAGGCTGAAACACCAAAGGGTTAAATACTTTGTGACTCTGGCTGAATCAAGGCAGTAGCTGAGTGAGTGCTGAACTCCTGAGCCTCACAGCCCCTCTCTGTGCTGGACTGTGCCTTTGGTGTTTGGAAAGCTGTAACCAAACACCTTGCTCAAAGAAAGAAACAGCGTAACCTGCTCGTGTTGGAATAAATGGAAAGCTTTGTACAGCTGCGTGATTTTTTTAACATTTTTTTTTTCTTCCCCTTGGATTTTCTCTGTCTCTGCTGGGAGGTTTTCAGATAATTGTTAATGAACCTCTTACTGCTTGAAATAGAACAGGTGTTTTGGAGGGCTGATACACAGGCTACAGTTAAGCTTCTCATGGAATAGTTTAGCTCCGAAGGGACCTTCTAGGGATCTGGGCCTCCCCCAGTGTAGGGGGGAGGTGGATCTGTGAAGGCAGATTCAAATGTGAAATCGGGTGATGTTGCTCAGAGCCTCATCCAGTTGAGTTTTGAACCAGAGATTCCACACCTCTCTGGTCCCTCTTACAGTGTTTGACCACTTTCGCGGTGGAATTTGTTTGTTCCTTGCATCTGGTCTCATTTTCCTTGTCTGCAGCTTGTATCCATCACTTCACTTCCTTTTGCTGTGCACCAGTGAGAAGGGGCTTTCCCAGTGCTCTATAACCACCTATTTGGCATCTGAAAATGAGATTTCCCCCCCTGAGCCTTCTCTCTTTCAGGCTGAACAAACTCCATCCTCTGCCTCTTCTCATACACCAGTGTTCTCTGTTCCCCTTGACAGTCCTCTGCTGGACCAAGTCCAGTTTGTCAGTGTCTTGCTGGTTGGTTTTTTTTTGTACTGAGGACCTCAAGACTGGATGCACGATTCCAGATGCCATCTTTTGAGTGCCAAATAGAGAGGGATAATCGTTTTCCTCAACCTGCTGGCTGTACCCTTGCTCATGCAGCCCAGTATGGGATTAGCTTTCAAATATTGACTTATACCAGAGTGGAACTTCAAGGCTCATTTAATATCTGCTTAACACATATTTAGCACATAAGAAAATTGCAAATAACTTCAGTTTCTCCAGCATGTTGCCCCCTGAAAAGGGTTTGCTAAATGTTTTGCAGATGGGTTGATTTTGTAACTAGGAGACTCCCATAGCCCGTTACACTGAATGCTGTAGGCGCTTCCTTTGAAGTAGCCAAGAGCTGCAGAGGATTTGGAAATATTCTTAAAAGACTGCAAGTTAGAGCCATGGGAGGGGGAAAAGTTGAGCCCCCAGTTAGTGCACTGCAGTGTCATCCTTTAACTGAGCAGCGGATCTGGAACTTTTGCTACTTTTAGCATTGAAGTGCCCCGTGTATCTTGATGACTACTGCCTGAGCTCCCAGGGAAAATGGAATATATTTTTCTGGTGACCCATGTCTGTGCAAGGAGGTGCTCTAGTTATTGTTTGTCTTGAGTTTAGCAGCTTTGGAGAGGAAAAAATCTGATTCACCTCACGTGCTTCCCATAGCTGCCTGCCTGTTGCAGTATATTCCCTGGTGCTTCATCCTGTCTGGTGCTAAAGGATAACCTAGCTGCCAGTTCTGGTTCAGTTTCCATGCAGACACCGCCAGGACTTCGAGTCTTGAATAATAATTCTTGTTTATTTTTTCCTCTTGTTAAGCTCTCTGGATTCTGAGCTGACGTCTCTCTGCCAATCTGTGCTGGAGGATTTCAACCTGTGCTTGTTCTACCTGCCCTCTCCTCCTAATCTGAGTTCAACTAGCGAAGATGAAGAAGAGTATGAGAGCGGCTACTCCTTCCTTCCTGATCTCCTGGTCTTTCGCATGGTGATCATCTGCCTTATGAGCGTTCACAGCCTCAAGAGGGCAGGTAACCGTTTGGAAGTTAACGATTATCGTTCATCAGACCACTTAGGTGAAGATGTTATCTGAATTGGCATTCGTGTTTTGGACTAGTGGTCAGTCTCCTCCCCCTCATTACGCTGTCTTGTTGCAGGTTCGAAGCAGTACAGTGCAGCCATTGCTTTCACACTGGCCCTCTTCTCCCACCTGATAAATCACGTCAATATTCGCCTGCAGGCAGAGCTAGAAGAAGGGGAAAATCCAGTCCCAGCTTTTCAGAGTGATGGCACAGGTAAGAGAACAGAGGCAGTATAGAATCAGAATGGTTTGGGTTGGGAGGGACCTTCAA